GCCTACAACGCAGCACTCACCCGCCGCCGGAGCCCCGGGGCGACCGCCGCCTCCGCCGCCTTCCGCCTTCTTCTTACCTCCCGCCTGCTGCTGGCCCTGCCTCGCCCCGGGCGGAGCCACGGTCACCGCGAAGAGCGAGGTGGGGCCGCCGCTCTTCCCCGCGGCCTCCTTGGCGGCCCCGCGCTGCTGGGGGGGCTGGGGCTGCGGCGTCGCCGGCGGTTGAGCCTGCTGCTCCCCGTGCCCGTTCTCGTCGCCCGCGCCCTCCTCCTCCTCGCCGAGCTCGTCCTCGCCTTCCTGGAAGCCCTGATCGTCGCCGTTCTCGTCCTCCGACGCGGCCTCCTCCTCTTCCATCGGGCCCGCGTCGGCCGCCCCCGCGGCCCCGTTCTCCTCTCCTAGCTCCATCTGGTCGCCATCCAGGGCGGCGATGCCTTCCTCCTCCTCTTCCTCCTCCTCGTCGCCGCCGGCCGCGGCCTCCTGCTCGAGGCCTGCGCCCGAGCGCCCGGCGGAATCCCCGCCCAGGTCGAGGCTGCCGTTCCCGGGCTCCATGGCGGGGCGGCCCCCGGCTTCCTCGTCGTCCAGCGCGGCCTGGAGCCGATCCATGAGCTCGGCCTTGAGGCCTTTATCAGACAGGCGCCGCTTCTTGAGCTCCTCTTTCAGCTCCGACACCTTCAGCTTTTTTACATTAACAGGCGAGGAACTCATGGTGAGGGCCCCGATTCTCCGCTGGGTGCTGGCTCAACCTCGGCTCCCCTCCGTCGGCCACTGGTGGCGGCTGCTCGTCGGCCCGGGCGGCAGCTGCGGCTGGAGATGGGTGCGTGCTGCAGAGCGGACCCGCCTGGTGTCGAACGGCGCCAATTCCTTTCACCGAGTTCGCGAGGGAGACGCGGACACTCGCCCGGCGCGAGCGAGCACGCAACGTCCTCTCGCAGCGGCGGCGCCGCGCACGTAATATAGTCGCCCCGCCCCCTGCGTGACGCCGCGCTGCGCAGTAGGGAAGCCGGCGCGCGCCCGCGCTCGCCCCGCCCCTTCCCGGACTCGCCTCCCCGCCCCCACGCGAGCGGGGCGCGCAGGGCGCCTCCAATGGGACCTAGCAAATGGAGGAAAAGGAAACCGCCTTTCGGTTAAACCGACCCGCTGCTAAATCTATTGGCCTTTGGTGGCCGTGCACCTTCGGCTCTTTGCTTTTCCAGCCAGAGGCTGCTTTTCGCCAAACGCTTTCAGTCCTCAACTTGGCGTTTTCAGCTCGAGTCCTCCCCCGTTGCTTCCATCTTAGATTTGCTCTCTGCTGTTCCTCCGGCGCGTCGTTGAAAACGCCTTTAAGAATTGCCGCTCTGACTGTGTAACAGCAGCTGGCCATTGTTTCACGCGCCAGTTTTTGGCTTCTCCCCTCCCCCGCCCCTCCCGGTCTAGTATTCGGTTTAATTTTTGCAGGTCTTGCCTTGCGCATTGCATTTTGAATTCGGGAAGGGCGAGGGCAGAGAGCCTTTCTTTTGTCTCTGCCTCAACCCTGATGCAGGGCCTGGGAGGTGGAGGCTTCGTTGTGGTCCTCCACTCAGCGCGGTGTACCTGGTAATCTCACCTCGTAATCTCACCAGATTACCACCCGTGAAGGGGCCTTAGCATTGCAGCTCTTAAATTGGCGCTACCTACAAAAAGACAACGTCCTTTAAGACTTCCTCTTGCCAGCTTTGGCCACGGCCATCTGGTTATAAGGTCCCAGAAGCATTGAAAATAGATCAGCTTATGCAGCTTTGATTTTTTTTCCTGGTTTTAGGGGGTTTGTATGTCCTGGTTTTTTGAGATGGTCTCTCACGTAGCCCAGGCTGGCCTCGAATTCATGATGATCCCCTTTTTTTTTTCTTGTGAGACAGGGTGCTGCTGTGAGGTCCAGGCTGGCCTTGAACTCAGTATGTAGTCCAGGCTGCCCTCAAACTCTCCGTGATCCTCCTGCCTCAGCTTCCAGAGTGCTGGGATTACAGGCCTGTGCCACCAAACCCCGCTTTCTTTCTGTTCTTGCAGAAATCCTCTTGACGAAATCATGGTGAACAAACATCTCAAAAAGCTCGCAAAAAATAAAAGGCTGCACCATTTAGTCAGAAGAATAGACTATCACTCTGAAAAAGAAATCTGTTATGTTATCTTTTAGAAGTTTAACTTGTCTCTTTAATAAATAACAAGTATGATATTTTCTTGAACTTTCAGGTAAGGGTGCCAGAATTTAGGTTTGTGGGGTGGGGGGATCTTATACCTCAGACAATGTGCACCATGCACAGCGAGTGCTTATGACCTAAGGAGCTCAGTTACACCTGCTGTTTGGTACTCCTGCTGGTGCTCACAGTAACATGGACCCCACTGATAATTTGAAATTTAGAAGTATAAAAATGGGAAATTTGTCCCATTGGCTATTATAATTTCACTGATTAATACATTTAATTGTTAAAGGTTTTTTTTTTTTTTTCACAAGTTTTATTTACTTGTTTTTAAGACAGGGCCTCCCTATGTAGCTTGGACTGACTGAACTCACTGTGTAGCCCACGCTGACCTGGAACTCGAAGCAGTCCTCTTGCTTCAGCCATTTTGCAGGGATTACAGGCATGTCCCACTACACCTGGCTCTTTACAATAGTTTTAAAGAACCCTTGTCGCCAGGTGTGGTGGTGCACCCCTGTAATCCCAGCACTCGGGAGGCTGAGGCAGGAGGATCATTGTGAGTTCGAGGCCAGCCTAGGCTACAAAGTGAGCTCAAGGCCAGCCTGAACTGCATAATGAGACCCTGGCTCAAAAAGACAAAAAAAAAAAGAAAAAGAGAACCCTTGTATCGGCCCGGGCATGGTGGTGCAAGTCTGTAATCCGAGCACTCTGGAAGCTGAGGCAGGAAGATCACTGGGAGTTCAAGGCCAACCTAGGCTACATAGTGGACTCAGGGTCAGCCTGCACTACATAGTAAGAGACCCTTAAACAAAAAGCATTATATCCTACCATATAGCCATGCATAAAGAGGAAACGTTAACATCTGCAAAATGAGCCGGGCGAGGTGGCACCCACCTGTAATCCCAGCCCTAGGGAAGCTGAGGTAGGATCACTGTGGGTTCAAGACCAGCCTGGGCTACAAAGTGAGCTCAAAATCAGCATGAACTGCATACATAGCAAGACCCTATCTCAAAAAGCACCCCCCCAAAAAATTTGCAAAATGATTTCATGAATTAGTGGTGAAATGAATGAACTGTGTACAGTACCAGAAATCCTCCACTTGTTTAAGGGCCTCCAAAATGGTGCCCGATCCTCACTTAACCTTTGGTCATGAAGTCTTTGCAGATAATAAACAACCCACAAACTGGAATTGGAACTCTTGCTTGTTCAAAAGTAAGAGCTATGGGGAGCTTACATGTTCACAAAATGGAAAATTAATCCCATAATCAATTAAATGTAACAATTAAGACAGTTTTTAAATATGTAAGTATCCTTGAGTATTATTTGCATTTTTAAAATATTAGTGATAAGCTGGGCCTGATGGCACATGCCTATAATCCCAGCACTTGGGAGGCTGAGGCAGGAGGATATTTGCAAGCTTGAGACCAGCCTGGGCTACAAAGTGAGCTCAAGGCCATCCTGAACTGCATAGTGAGACCCTGTCTCAAAAAGACAAAAAATAAATAAATATTAGTGGTAGGAAAACAGTTTCTACTAACTGAAAAAAAGAACTCCAGAAACAAAGTTGATGTTTCATTACTAGCATGGTTTTATGCAGTCATTCTTAGCCTGTGAAAGTGAATGCAATAGTGAACTGCGAAATGTAAGTCTGCTGTCCTGGAGAGTGTGCCGGGCTTTCTCCAAGAGCTTTGCAGATCCTTGGCACAGAGGTGGGGGAGACTGTCCAGGAAGCTTGCATCCTGGGGACCCAGGGACAAGCTCTCCCCCGAGTGCCCTCTGTCCCTTTGGACTGCCCTGGGCAACATTTGAAAGAAAAAGTTTTTCTAAATGCTGCAAGAGTCACCATCTCACCCTCCATCGTTTATGCAGAAGTGGGTGCCATTCTGTATTTAATTTTACCATTTAAAAGTCCAAATGGCAACTTAAACATAGTACTCTTTGTGTGCATAGATTGACTTGTGTGTGTGGTGCTGGGGGTCAACCCCAGGGTCTTGTGCTTGCCAAGCATGTGCTTTCTCACGAAGCCGTACCCCATCCCCGATGCTTGTATTCTTTTTTCTTTCTCTTTTTTGTTTTTGAGACACGGTCTCTCTATGTAGTTCAGGCTGGCCTCGAACGTACTATGTAGCCCAGGCTGGCCTCACCCTCCTGCCTCAGCTTCCCAAATACTAAAATTCCAGGCCTACACCACCACACCTGCCTTGTAGCAAACATTTTGTGAACTTCTTTATCATAGGCATCAATGGTGTGGCAGGGTTATAGCAGTTAATTTAGAGGGACTTAGTAAGTAGAAGGAAGAAAATACACAGGGGAGAGGCAGGGAGTGGCACTGCCCAGGGTCGAGGTGGTGAGTTTTTCATATACATAGGGTGGCCGGGCAAGCCTAAGCAATAAGGCAACCACAGGTTCCAGATACCTGCCCTACAGTTGCTTATAGTTAACAGTAAAGTATTAGGCACTTAAATGTATGTTTAGACAGCCAACTGTGGTGGCGCACGCCTGTAACCCCCACACACTTGGGAGGCTGAGGCAGGAGGATTGATGCTCGTTCAAGGCCAGCCTGGGCTACACAGTGAGTTCAAGACCAGTCTGAACTACATCGAGAGACCCTGTCTCAAAAAATAAAATAATGAAATGGGAGCAGGGGAGAAATAAGTAACACTGACGCAAATACCTAAAAGCGATGCAGGGATACACAGGTGCAGGGCTCTGAGGAAGGAGAAGGAGATGGAGGGGCAGTGGCCAGCAGCCTTGTGGAGGCTCTCTGAGAACTTTGTTTTTTATTTTTATTTTCTTTTTTTTTTTTTGTCTTTTTGAGACAGGGTCTTGCTATGCAGTTCAGACTGGCCTTGAGCTCACTTTGTAGCCCAGGCTGGCCTCAAACTTGCAATGATCCTCCTGCCTCTGCCTAACGAGTGGTGGGATTACAGGTGTGTGCCATCACACTGGGCTTCTCTGAGAACTTTGGATTTTGCTCCAAATGCTGAAAACTAAACTTCACTTTCGAAGTCAGGGTCTTGGGCATCCCCTGGGTGGTGAGAGCAGAACCCTCCTGGTAGGGTGAGTGCCCTCCCCAAGGCTGAAGGCCCCGGCTGTCTTCTCCCCGAGGACGGGCAGGAGGCGCTTGGCGGAGACGTTGAGGATGTTGCTGCCGCCTCCACCCAGGTCTTCCAGACTCCAGACCGCGACAAGCCGGTGTCTGCTGTTTATGATCACCTCGATTATGAGGTAGAAGTGTCCTGTATGTGGGTAGCGATTTTTCTTTGGCAGTGCCGGGGAAAGGAAGCCAGGGCCCAGCCCACATCAGGCAGGCATGCGCCTGCTGAGCTGCGCCCCTGCCATTCTGTCGGGCCCCCCAGTGGACTCACACACTCAGGGAGAGGGAAGCCGTGGAAGGGTTATGAGCAGGGAAGCGATGTGAACAGACCAAAATGCTAAAGTAAGTGGGCTCCTGACGCTGTTCCATTTAACCCTGTTGTTGTTTATTTTGTTTGTTTGAGGCAGGGTTTCACAACATAGCCCAGGCTGCCCTCAAACTCTGCAATCCTGCTGCCTCAGCCTCTCAAGTGCTGGGATTACAGGCGTGCATCGTCACGCCTGGTTAACCCTGTGCTTTTTGTTAGTTCAATCATGTGCAATCTAAATTACTGAAAGAAGAGGGAAATATGTTGAAATACATTTCCCAGTGTATTTTACAAAAGATGTAAGAAGTTAGGCTGGGCCTGGTGGCACACATCTGTAATCCTAGCACTTGGGAGGCTGAGACAGGAGGATCACGAGAGTATGAAGGCA